GTCCCCCCTGTCATTCTTATATAGGGCCCCCACCCACCGCTCAGGGGTGGGGGCCGGGGGGAGGACAGTAGGTCCCCCCTTATTGTTATTTAGAGCCCCCACCCACCGCACAGGGGTGGGGGCTGGGGGGAGAACAGTAGGTCCCCCCTCATTGTTACTTAGGGCCCCCACCCACTATGCAGGGGTGGGGGCCAGGGGGGAGGACAGTAGGTCCCATTCCCCTCATTGTTATTTAAGGGGGTAGGACAGTAGCTCCCCTCCCATTGTTATTTAGAGACCCCATCTGCCGCTAAGGGGTGGAGACAGGGGGAGAATAATAGGTGTCCCCCCTTATTTTACATTAGGACCCCCACCCGCCGTTCAGGGGTGGGGGACAATAGGTTTTTATTTATTTTATTTTATTTATTTTTACAGTGAGCAGCCACTGGCTGCTCATTGTTTACCAGACATGTCCCTACTTGCGGTATAGCAAGTAGGGGCTGAATTTACTAATACTAAGTAATCTTTACTTAGTATTAGTAAATTTGGCTGTTTACATATTTGATGACAAACAGTTTTCCTGCTAAGTACCTGCATGTCATAAGCATTTAAATTAAAATGACTATATTGAAATCAAATCTGATGTTTTTTTTAATTTTTATTTGGTGTGCGTTGGAAGAGGGGTAGTCTTATACGGCGAGTATATCCCAAACTATATATTTTAACTGGAAAAGTTGGGGGTCGTCTTATACTCCCTCTTATACGCCGGAAAATACGGTAACTAGACTTGTAAGTTTTGGTTAAAGAAGCTATATGTTAACAACTGTGTACATTGACATGTCATTATATCATCAAATGAGTCATACAGAAGTGTAGGGTACATTGTAGATAAACATATATCAGTGCAGGCAGCATGGTTCATATTCATCAATGCAGATATGCAAGGGTTTACACATAAGAACATGAGAACTATGTACATCTCTAGGCATTGGTAGGAATAGGGTCGTTTGCAAGGGTTCACGAAAGCAGTGTTGTATAAAGAACCCATAATAAGATAACATAATCTGTGTTATGGTCGCCCTTATGATCCTTGACTGCTGACAAGGTCCTGTAATTATTTCTATGTTTTATGCCTAAAATGTATCTGTTACTATGGGCCTGATGTATGTCATTGGGATCATTTAGATTTAGTTTAGGTTATGGTTCTGTTGGAGGTAGCATGGGTGAAGGTGTCCCATGGTCCCCAAATGTGTTTGAATTTGAGATATTTTTTTGAAATTGAATAGGTGGAAAATATGTCGTATGTGTCGTATTGAGTGAGGGTTTGCGTGTTTCCAGTGGGCCAATATGAGTTGATTTGCATCTGTTAGAAGGAGGTTTGTCAGAAGGGATTTCTGTCTCCTCTGCCCGCTTGGTAGCAGAAGAAACACAAAGCACTCTGGTGTGAATGGGAGTTGTGTTGTAGTAATTGTGTGTATTAGTGTGTGAATGCGTTCCCAGAACTTGCCAATTTGTGGGCATTGCCAACAACTGTGTGCAGGGTTTGCATTGGGTTGATGGCATCTCCAGCAGGTATCAGTTGTGTTGCTGTTAATTTGTGTAGTTTTGCTGGAGTGTAGGGCCAACGAGTAATGCGTTTATAGTTGCTCTCCTGTGTAGCGAGGTTTGTGGAAGTTTTGTGGGTTTGAAGGAATATCGTCTTCCATTGATCTATGGATATGTGTGACCAACTTTCAGTATAAAGGGGTAGGTCAGTAGCTTGGGCGGTAAAAAGGAGGTTGTACATGGTGGACAGAACTTTCTTCTGTAGGGGATGCGATGTGCAAATTAGTTCTAACTTTATAGCAAGCTCCTTCGGGGAGCAATTTAAAACTTTGGATAAAGTGTACTTTGGGAGGGCTGTCGGTAGAGCTTGGAGTAAATATAGTAGATGTGGTAGTGCATTCATTTTCAGAATGTTAAGTCTACAGAACTAGTTATATTGTGGTATGTGCCAGTATTTTAGATCATTGGAAAGTGCTATTAGAAGCGGTAGAAAGTTTAGGTCATAGATGCGACTCAATGTATGGGGTAAATGTATACCTAAGTATTTAATAGCTGTAGGAGCCCATGTAAATTGAAAAAGGTGTTTCAGTGTTGTGTCTGTGTCTGTAGCTGAATGGAGTGGGGCAAGTTGGCTTGAAAGTTTGAAATCCTCAAGGATGAGTGGGGTTGGAGATTGAATAGAGTAGGTCATATGGAAAAGCATACATTTTATATTCCTCCCCCTCGTGTAATAAACCTTGAATTTGTGGGTTGTCTCTAATCCCCTTTAGGAAAGGTTCAAATATAAATATGAATTTGAGGGGGAATATCTTGTGCCATTTTCTTTCAAATAATTTTTTATTGTATTAAAAAGAAGAGGTGGGGGGGAGGGAGGGGAGAACTTGGAATGAGGAAGGGGAAGGTCCATCCTTTATTACAATCAATGCAGTAGTGTATAAGGCATATAAATCATACAATACTGTACATTTATAAAGCAAGTTTTTACAAGTTATAGACTTATAATAGATGCGAATTTAAATAATTTTTCATTAATTCTATCGGCATAGCTCTATATATTTTCGCTTAATGACAATTGTTTTGTGCACTATAAGCTTTAAGAGTGGTTTTGGTGAGGAATAATTTAGTTACTCCAGGCCTACTTCCAGAGCTTAACCAGGGAAATTCTTTAGGTTGGAAAGGGAGAATTTTAGATTATTCTAATTCCATCCATCTAGGTTTATTGAATTGGCTATTAAAACTTACCACCACAGCAGTATTAGTTGCGAAATAGTATTTCCGGAAATTAGGTACTCCTATACCGCCATGAGTTTTATGATTTTGCAGGGAAGAAAGCTGAATTCTACAGAGTTTATTTTTCCAAACAAATTTTAGAATTGTTGAATGCATTTTATTGAAAAAGGACATTGGGATGGATAAAAGTATGGTCCTAAATTAATATAGAATTTTTGGAAGGATGGATATTTTGATAGAAGCAATTCTCCCCAACCATGAAAGTTCCATACCGCCCCATCTCTTTTTGTAGGTTCGACCATGCTTTCTTTAAGTTATGTATATGAATATTGGCTAAATTTTTTGCATAAATTAATTCCCAGATATTCTTAGTATTCGTCTCTCCAGTAAAACGGGTAAATTGATTTTAGGGCAACTATTTCCATTTTATTCATGTGGAGTGGTAGGGCCTGGGTTTTAGATTCATTGAGTTTATAATAAGACACCTCTCCAAACTGTCACAAAATATTTTAAGACGTAACAAGGATTTTTTTCGGGTTTTTAAGCGTAAGAATGACATCGGCGGCAAAAAGGCCAATTTTGTGTATAGATCCCTTAATATCAATGCTTTCAATGTCTGGGGTCAGTCTAATTAATTCGGCCAGCGGTTCCATTGCTAGTACGAAGAGAACCGGAGATAAAGGGCAGCCCTGGCGTGTCCCATTGGTAAGGGAAAATGCTCTTGACTGGAAACCCGAGGCCAAAACGTGAGCCATAGGATCACTATAGAGTGCTTTAATAGCGTCAATGAAGGACAAAGGTATATTAAACTTTTTTAATGTGCTCCATAGGTAACCCCAATTCACTCTGTCAAACGCCTTCTCTGCGTCCAATGAGAGAAGGCGTTTTTGTTGAATTGATGTTTTGAATTAAAAATTTAAATTTTCTTGTGCCGTCGGGAGCTTGCCTGCCCTGAACAAAACCCACTTGGTCGTTGTCAATCAGTAGAGGTAACAGTTTGGCTAATCTATTGGCTAGTACTTTAGAGTATATTTTCAAATCATTATTAATCAGGGATATGGGCCTAAAATTGGAACACCTATTGGGAGCTTTTCTGGGCTTTGGCAACGTGACAATTTGTGCGCGCAAGGACTCCTCCGGCATCTTCCCCCCAGACTTATAGGAATTAAACAATTTGGTCATATGGGGAATTAAAATTTCTGGGAAGGTCTTATAATATAAAATAGTGAATCCATCCAGACCAGGGGCCTTTCCAGATGGCATAAGTTTAATTGCCTCGGCTATCTCAGCTACAGTGATGTCGCACTCTAAATTTTTTTAACTATCAGGAGACAGCCGAGGCAATGACACCTTATCCAAAAAAATATTAATTGTTGCCTCTGTCGGCTGGGTGAGAGTCGAATCCGATTTCAGGTTTTAAAGTTCACTATAATAATTTTCAAATTGATCACTAATTTTAGTAGGATGGAATATTTTATTTCCCTGGTCATCTAATAAATACGCTATTTTTGATTGGGCATTCACTTGCCAGAGTTTAGATGCCAGAAAAGTTCAGGCCCTGTTACCTTTTAAATAAAATGTTTTCTTAAGGCGTCTCACCATGAGAGATGTACGGCCCAAATTAATTTTATGAATATTTAATTTAATCTCTCCTACCATTGCTGATAGGGAGGAAGATGGGCCAAATTAATTTGCTTGATTTAAATTATATTGTTCTTTTTCCAGGAGTAGAGAGTTGGCCATTGATTCTCAGGTGAGCTGTAGACATGGAGTAAATAGCTCTTAACCAACTGAGCCAATGTCTTCCAAAGCCCATGTGTTGTAGTGTTGCCAGCATCACGGACCAGTCCTCCCTGTCGAACACCTTTTCAGCGTCAATTGCGAGTAGCACACTTGGCGTTTTTGACAGCTTCGCTGAGTACATCAGGTTTAGGAGTTTGGTAGTGTTATCTTTGGCTTTTCTACCTGGTACAAAGCCAGATTGGTCAGGGTGGACTAGTCCTGGCAACAGCAGTTTTAGCCTGTTGGCCAATATTTTAGTGAATATCTTAATGGCAATATTTATTAGCAATATGGGCCTAGAGCTATCACAGTTGGACAGATAGTTACCCGGTTTGGAGATTAATGCAATGGTGGCTTCCAGGGATTAGGGGGGTAGATTGGGTGAGCCTAGAAGCGAGTTAGCGGTAAAGCTGTCTGGGCCTGGAGTTTATCACTTGTTCTGTTTTGCCAGGCAGGATTGGGATTTAGAGGGCCTCCAGGGCATTGCGGGGGATAGTGTGTTTGTTCCGTTTGGAGAGAAATTCTCTAATCTTGTGGTCTGGTGGGGGTTTGTCCCTTAAATTATATAATTTGGTATAGAACTCCTGGAAGGATGTGATAATGTCAGGCACGAGGCAAGACTTTTTGCCATTTTGTGGTGTGATAGATGATATGAATGTTGTTTGTCTTTTTGGTTGTAGGGATTGGGCTAATAGGAGCCCACTTTTGCCTCCCTGTGTGTAGTAAGTGTGCTTAGTCAGTAATAGTTTATATTTCGATTGTAAATTTAGTAGAGTTGTTAATCCAGATCTCTTGGCTATAAGTGTTTTGTATGTGTCTAGGGATTTATCCAGTCTGTGGAGTTTCTCTAGCATTTTTATGTCGGTCATTAAGTGGGGGGGAGGGGAGGGAGTAAAAGGAATAGTCTTTACTTGCGAGATGTAAGGTCCTCCAACTGTCATTGGGGATCTGATGACTATGAGCTGCGAATG